ACTAGTATTTTGTTTGTACTTATGTTAAGATTACCGGTGCGTATGATGTTCGTTGCAGCCCGCTGTTTTAGAAACGTCCTAGCTCTCACGCTTGCTGCCCATTCCCTTCGCCCTCAAATTAGCATAGCGGCCGAGTATTTTAGTACAAGCGCTCGAGGTTCCCACGTCTAATTGTTCATTTTTGTAGATCGGTATACGAATATGACTCTAGAAGAAAAAAAGGCTAAATGCGAATGCAACGGCGCATTTGCTTGTGTACACAAAATACCATCTTGGAAGATCTACTCAAACAGTGAGATTAAATTTTGCCCCCCCCTCAATTACTGATAGAATTTTACACGAACGTGTATTTGAAAGCCTACATCCTATTTTACGATAAATAGTCTGACTACTATTTATGCAATTAAATTTCATCTAGGGGACTAGTTCTCGCCTTTTCATTTTTATTTCATTCCTCATATAGCCACTCGTAAATAGTTTTGGGCGATGTAAGAATACGTTTTAACTTAATTTTCGCGCTACTTATTGTATTACCCAGTGAAGCACTACATTCTTGTTGCTTATCTTATTTGTATTCAAATTGAACATCTTGTTTTTTTGACGTGACATTTTAAAAGTATGGGGGACTTTGCGGCTGTTGGAGGGCTTTGCTATATTAGTTTATTCTTATTTATCTAGGCAGAATAAACAATCCATTGGCGGACAGGATCAGCCTCTGGAAGGGCGATATTACTACTCTGAAAGTTGATGCAATAGTAAATGCCGCCAACAAACATCTCAAAGGTGGAGGCGGAGTTGATGGGGCCATTCACCGAGCTGCAGGGCCTTTGCTTCATCAGGAATGTCTTACACTGAATGGATGTAAAACCGGATCAGCAAAGATTACCGCCGGCTATAATCTTCCAGTAAAATGTAGATAAATTAATTCGTCAATATTATATTGAGCTTTGTTCTTGTTTCTTATCAAGATTAATGTCTGATTTTATCACTTTATTTCCTATATATCGATTGTAATGCACAAAATGATACCTAAAGAGCATATTCAGAATAAAATGTGAGCTATTATTATGCTAAAAAATGGCTTTAAAACTCGTTTTAGTTTTCCATATCTTATCGAAGCTCGATTATATATCTGATCTTTATGAACCAATGCTATTACTCACTAGAATACCTCAATTTGACTCCTTTTAGGTCTTAATCTTTGCTAAGCTGGTGTTTCTCATAATAACCCTATGTGAACAAATCTTTTCCTTCTATAGCCCATCCCTTAGACTCCAAAATTATAGTACAATTTTGTATTTAGTACTAATGCATTTTACTTTTTATACGATAACATTCTTTCTATATATAAGTTTGTACAAAATAATATAAGGCAAGAATAGGTCCTGATTGTGGTAGTCAAATCATTCCGTTATGTAGTATTAGGGTATTTGCTACTCACATTTGGAAATTAATAGCTATTATCCTGTATTAATTATATCAAATATAGTAGCTATCAATAGTGGCAAACTCATGTTTACAACGCAGCCCACTTATTGGGATTATATTAATTTGATGAGGAAATTTTAGCCATCACTGGTATCTACTGTTTTAAAAAAGTTATAGGTAAGATTTCTAAAGTAGTATTTACTTATCCTTATCAATCATAGATAGCTAAGAATTTGGATTAAAGATTTATGACCGAAGATTAAGACAAAATATATTTTCTGTTTAACGATACTTCACTGTGAATGTCTTATATTAAATGAGTGTGAAACTGAATCAGCGTAGATCACCTATAGCTATACTCTGATGCTTTGTAAAATATATAGAAAATCGAGCATTTTATTGATTTCACTTCAGATATCATTCATTGTGTTGGTCCTGTCGGTGAGAATTCAGATGCATTGGCCTCCTGCTATCAAAGTGCATTCCAATTATGCATGAAACACGGATTAAAAACAGTAGCTTTTCCCTGCATTTCCACTGGAATATATGGTTAGCTAGATGTTATATTGCCGTTCTACTTGCATTTACTCTACTCGAAGAACCTCTTATTAGATATCCTTAACCCTTATTCTTCAATGCACTCTATTTTATAGTGACTACCTTCCCTTACTTGATCGTTCTAGTCTTAAATATA